ACAGGATTACAGTCCGTGATCTAGAAGTTAGCATGACAACACGCACGTGGGATGTGGAGTGGGGACACCGTTCAACCCCAACAACTCCTTCTTCTCCCAAAGTCGGATTCCCTAGGGGATTGCTTATCACCCCCGAGAGTCTGGTCGAGTGGGACTCCCAGCGAGCAACCCTACGGAACGGAGTCGAGCTGCCGCCCAGGGTTGGCAAGGCTGGATCTTGACGGAAGCAGGCAGCTATCCCTTTCTCCAGCAGAGCAGCCGGTGGGCCTGAACTTCCGAACTTGTGCCGCTCAAACACTGCTCGTACCCCGTAACATCACACTCACCGCCTCTGTGAACAGTCACCTTACAACCTGTCACGTGTGAACTTCTAGACTCCGGGACCAGGTAAAAGACAGAGGACTCGCACAACACCCACCCGGATGCTTCAGTCGGAGGGCTCCCCTTCCCGAGGCAGCCTGCCTGGAATTCCATACAAAGAGAACTGGAATGGCCCAGCCTGGGGTCCTACTTGGCTCCCACCAGCAGATTTTAAAGAATGAACAGTCGAATGCCCAGCCTGGCTCATATTAGTTCCCATCCGTTTTTCCCACCGCCCAATTCTCTAACACCTTGGACGGGAACTAATTAAACACATGTGGTGGTTTTCTGCCCAGAGTGTCTCTTGCAGCCCTGGAACATAGCAGACAAAATTAGGTCCATCTGTCTAAGCAGGCAGGAGCCCTAGTGACACAGTGGTTACATGTTGAGCTGGAAGCTGCAGGTCGGCAGTTCCAAACCATGCTCCTTGGGAGAAAGATGAAACTTTCTACTCCCATAATGAGCTGCAGTCTCAGAAACCCACAGGGGCAGTTCTGCCTTACCCTTAAAGGGTTGCTCTCAATCAGAAGCAACTCAAAGGCAGGGAGTCTATGAGAGCTATACTAGGCAAAGGCATAGAGACCAAAGGACATGAGAGGTATCAGGGCCTCGGTGGAAGAGGAAGGAGCTCTGGAGGCACAGTGGTTACAGGCTCAGCTGTTAACTGCAGGGTCAGGAGTTCAAAACCACCAGTCGCTCTTCGGGAGAAAGATGGAGTTTTTCTACTCCCATGAAGAGTTAGTCTTGATGGCAAGAAATGTACAAATATGCTTGATACAATTGATGTATGGATTGTTATAAGAGCTGTAAGAGTTCCACCCACCCCCAATAAAATGATCTTAAAAAAAATAACACTGGGGAGGGAGGAGCAAGAAATGGGGAGCTGATATGAGGGACTCCAGTGAGAAGAGAATGCTTTGAAAATGACGATGGCGGCACATGTGCAAATGTGCTTGACCCACTGGATGAATGTATGGATTGCGATGAGATGTATGAGCCCCCAAGAAAAGTGTTTAAAGTAGTAATAATGACTGAAATACAGGGATACATATGGTAGCCAACTAAAAAGGAGGTGGGGAAAGGAGAAATATAAATAAATAATTTATTTTTAAAAATGGGTAGCGGGGGCACAGGGCGCTAACCCACCCAAGGGGAGAGCATTGTTGATACCTCCACAGGGAAAGAGGGACCAGACTTCAACCCAGTGCTCCAAGATGTGAATGCCATATGTCAGCGTGGAGTAGGGAACCAGTGGAGAGGTCTGAGGGTCCGGCCCCAATCCCAACTACTAAGTGGACAGCTGCCCCTCCCCCAGAAGAATTTATTTCAGAGGACGGCACTGAATCTGTAGCTCTGGGAGAGGAA